CGCATTGCAGGCTCATGTTCATCTTGTGGTCAGTGACGACCCCAAAGTCTCTTTCTTCCGTAGTGCTAGCCAGCATAGCCAGCTCTCATGATTTAAGCCAGTATTACCAACTCTCATGATTTTTGGCATTATTCTCAAAGTCTGTGCTTTGGGAGTGTGAAAAACTTAGTTCTTTTATATATATATTCATATATTTGTGTGCGTGTGTGTGCGCGCGCGCACACGCACGCATGTTAGTTTCATTCATATTTGTACGCGTACGCATGTTAGTTTCATTATACATGTATAGATATTATTTCAGTATAAATATATTTCAGTATAAACATATGAAAGAGCCAAGTTTTTCATATTCCTGAAGCGTAGACTTCAAGAACAATGCCAAAAATCATGAGCTGGCAATACTGTTTAACCACTTGAGTAATATGCAGATAACTGACATTTTGCTACAATATGAACAATAACTAGGCTTGAAAGAATTTGATTTTTAATCAGTAAACGGCGATTTCACCTCACACTTACAGACTGACCAAAAAAAAGTTTCCATAGTTAATAATCAAAAACAGGGGAAGAACAGAAGGAAGTCGAAGGCTGGAGTATCTCAGAGGGCCAGTCTCAAGGAAAACAGTGTGGGACCTAAATGGCCAAATGTTTCGCTAATTAAGCAATTAGCTATTCACTCACAGGAAGCAGGCTGGAGAGAGATAACAGGCTACTTAAACCCCTACTAGAAGAGTGGGGTGTGGAAGAGTATTGGAGCCAGACCAGAAGCAGCAGTCATAGAGCAAAGCATGCAAAGTAGTGGCAGGGAGTTCCTAAGGCTCGAATGGGACAACTTAGCTAGAGAATTCTGGAGACTGTAAAAAGAGGTGTAGTGAAATTAAGGCACCTGTCCGCCACGGCACCTCAGGGTGAGCAGCACAGCACACCCTGAGGTGCCCATGCAGTCGCCGTCAGCACAGAGCTGATGCTGGAGCTGTGAAGCCTGGCACAGCTATTTGCAGCCTGCTCCCTGCTTGCTTGCTGCAGCTGCCCAGACACAGCTGCGCCAGGCTCCAGAAGCCTGCCATCATCTCTGTGCTGGAAGCAGAAGAGAGACTGGGGCTGCACTGCCTCAGGCCCCTCCCTCACCACCTGCTCCGATGTGCGGGTGTACCTACCAATGCACAGCTGATGCCGGAGCCCGGCACAGCTGTTTGGAGCCTCCCAGCTGCAGCTGGCCTCAGCTCTACAGAGCTGCTGCCAGCTGGGAGCCCGGGCTGCTCCCAGCAGGCAGCTGGGACGCAGCAAGCCCTGCTGGGAGCAGCCCAGGCTCCAGCAGCTACCCAGAGCCAGGGTAGCTGCTGACAGCCACAGAGCCCAGACTGGGGGGCAGGGGCAGTAGGGCATCCTGCCATGGACCACTTACCCTCATTTTGTTTTTCTGCCATGCCAGCACTTTCCAAGGTAGGCACTGTGGTGTTTTCAGCATTCCGGCCAAAAAAATATCGCCTACCCCTGTTGTAGACACTTAAGTCTTGTATTGGCCCTTAGTTTTAATCATTTAGCCCAGGGGTGGGCAAAAGGTGGCCCAGAGGCCAGATGTGACCTGCCAGGCCATTCTATCCGGCCCGCAGGGCCCCTAAAAAATTTAGAAAATGAATATTAATCTGCCCTGGGCTGCCTGTCATGCAGCCCTCGATGGCTTGCCGAAACTCGGTAAGTGGCCCTCTGTCCAAAATAATTGCCCACCCCTGATTACAGTTCATGGGCAGCAAAGACACAACTGTACCTTGCTCTTACTGTATAAGACTAAGGGGAACTCTAAAAATACTTACCAATTGCTAAGCCATCACTAAAGTTGTGTAGTCCATCACCCATAATCACCATCCAGGCTAGAGTAGCTATACCAGCATCCTTCAGCTCTTCTCGTGAGTAGCGCTGACTGTGGCTATGTGGATGGTGGTTCTGATGGTGATGATGATGGAGAATATGATGGTAGTCATGATGATGATGACTGAGATGGTCCGACTGTCCCAAAGTGTCATGTAAATGAGAATGACATTTGTTTCTACAACCCCTGGATACATATTCATTGTCAGCTTCCTCTTGATGGGAGTGAGCTATCATGACTTCTTCTTCCTCCTGTACTACTGGTTGCTGAGAAATGAAGTGGGATGGATCTTGCGAATCTGTACCTAAGTAACCTTCAGGCCCTGGGGGGTGGGGAAGAGAGAGAGATTATGTTAACATACTTAATTACCTAAAAAACTATGCTATGATAAGAAAAGACCAAGGAAATTGACCCTGATACTCTGCTCCTCTGTGACTACAATCATTTTGCATGACTCCCATGATATTTTTTGCTCAAAATTTATATGGTGGACTCAGGGAAATCTATGGAAGTATCACAGAAAAAATAAAGATCCTTGTCTTTATTGCAGGTGTGGGCAATTATGTGTGTCCCAGGACTATGTAGAGAGTTTTGATGAGCTGTCATGCGTCCCCTGCCCCCTGTAAAGCAACTCACCAAAACTAGCTATGGGGCTTTGGGCAGGTGGGAAGCAGTGTCTGGCAGTGGGCCAGGTGTAATCTGCACCCTGCATGCCCTATCCTGTAGGGGAGGGTGTGTGGGGGAGGCAAGGGGCACATGCAGCAGAGCTGGCCCAGTCTGCAGCTACCCCTATGGTACTCTGCATGGAATGGAGCCCCACCCAGGGCAGCCCACACTGTGCTCCCACCAGCGCTCAACAGCCTTGGCCCAAGCCCTAGCCAGTGCACAGCTGCAGCCAGCTGGGTGCTGCTCTGGTCCCCTCACCTCCAGCCGGAGCCACTGGCTGAAGCTTCCCTCCTGTCTGCCTGTCTGGGGTGGCGCAGCAGGAGCAGGAAAAGGAGCCACAGCTGAAGGCAAAGGGAGTAGAGCAGCACCTGGCCAGCTGCAGCCACACTGGGGACAGCTCTGCTCCGGAAGCTGCACATGCTGGCCAGGGTCCAGGCTGGTGGGGCTGTTTTGCTCACCTTGGCTCTAGCTGCAGCTCCTGCTGCACTGCTTTGGGCAGGGGGGCGAGGGAGATACTTCAGCCTGGCAGCTCCCATCCCAGTGTGCAGGGCTCTGGCTCCAGCTCTTGGCCACCTTCCATCCACCTGCATTGTGCTGAGCAGGCAGAGCAAGTGGAAAGCAACCAGGAGCTAGAGCCAAAGCTCCATGCACTGGGGCAGAAGCCGCCTAGCTGAAACTTCCTCCCTGCCTGCCCAGAGGAGCAAGAGCCGCAGCTGGAGGTGAGGGGAGCAGAACAGCCCCAGAGCCCTGGGCCCCAGCTAGCGCACATCTTCCAGTGGGGCTATTTTCAATGCAGCTGCAGCCAGTTGGGTGCTGCTGTGCTCCCCTTGCCTCCAGTAGTGGCTCCTCCTCCCACTCCTGCCCCTGAGATGCTGCTCCAGGCACGCGGGTGGGCAGACAGAGGGGACGCTTCAGCAAGGGGCTCCCACGGCATGTGACGGGAGCAGATCAGCACCTGGATGGCTGCAGCCACTCTGGGAACAGCTGTGCCAGAAGCTGCATGCTGGCTGGGGCCCAGGCTGGTGGGGGGCACCCACAGGCTGTATCCAGGCCATATTTTGCATACCCCTACCTCCCACTTGAAAAAATACATCTATTTCAGCTGTTATATTTTATGTAAAAAATAACATACACTATGCTGCTTATTAATTAACTTCACAATATTTTAAGTGTTCTGCCTTAACACAAGTATGTGGTACTATTTTTTTATTTGTACGGTTTGAAAATGCTAACAATATGCTCTCAGTTTTGGAACAGATGGGTTGTTTCCAATTTTATTTTTGGTTTTATTTAAATGAGTTTTACAACTAAATTTTTAAGCTTTGAGAATAAAAGAATATGGGTAAATTTTGGTAAACTTCTTGCAGTCACAGAAATATAAGTGAGTTACATGCAAATCCACAAGCCTGGGAACCTTCAAAACAGCACACACATACAAACCTAAGTAAAGTATCCAATACAAAAAAATTGTCCTGTACACATGAAGTTCTAGCAAATATTTAAAGCACAGTAGTAAGTCATTTAAAGTCAAGAATTGGCTCTAGCTGGCACTCCCAGAAGCAGTTTAATTCTTTACCTGCAGCTGACTGTCATTCAAAGAAGTGCACAATTCTTTTTCTGTCTTTGAAAGCAAAGAATGCAATTTCAATGTGATCCTGACAAATGAAAGCCCCATTGACATCACCACCAATGGGAGCTGGCTTCTGCAAAATAAGATTTGATCCATATAGCCACATGAAAATTACAAATGGGGGATCAATGACACTGAATTCCACTGCGACAGCTATTGCAAATAATCTCAGGAATAGCAAAGTTCTGCCTGAGGCTGCAGGATCATGCAGGGCATGCAACTGGGGGCTAACATTCAAGATTTTTAAGACACATCAAGAAAGAGCCTGGCCTGATCCAGTAGACAACACAATATGCTAGTGCTGCTATTAAGCGTTAGCTGTTTGAAGTGCTTAAAATGAGAGAGAAAAATCTGGAGAATGAAATTAAATAAATGAAGCCAAAGACAATTCATCATGCTAGAAACAGCATCTTCTGTTAGTTAGAGATAAGAAGTGCTGCATCCAGATTATATAATTGCAGGAGATATGCAGAAGAAATCACAAAGATAAGTGAAAGGAAGGGCACTTCCACAAACTTTGATTGCTTTGATACTATTCTATTCAGTGAAGCAATCCAGATATTTTGATTTCATGAAATATTTTTCCAGGTAATGTCTAACAAAAAGAGTTACAGAACTACAAGTACAGTCTACCAGCCTTTTTTAAAGCTTTCTTCAGTTCAGTCTTGCAACAGAATTACGAGGAGAAAATGGAAGTTTACTCAAGAAGTAATAGAAGCACATACAGGCACACCCAAATCTCTAGCAGTATAGGAGGAGAGCACCAAGTCTGTAACTGAAAGGAGCCAGATACAGAAACACTGGTCAAATTAATCTGTGCTGTCACCCCACTGACTTTAATAGGCTTACGTGAGGGATGTATCAAATTGTTTGTAGATAGAACATGGCCCTTCTTGGACAGGCACCGAATATGAACTCAGATCCAGCAAATGCCATACTGCAAAATTGTAACAAGATATACAACTTATTGGTTTAATCTTATTTTTGCAGAGAATGAGGCATTTCAGTAACAGTCCCCAACTCAAGACTCACAATAAGACTACTTAATGTTAGTCACACACAGCGTCATGCCCTAAATGTCTATTCATACCTGCAATCCAAGGGCCTATCACATTGGATAGTTCAGTAGCCAAGCAAACACAGTACTGAAAGCAGCCTACAAAGACCAAAAAAACTTTATATTTTACTGTACAAGATCACCTGGACATTTGATGGTATTCTTATTTCATGAAATGTTTTCATTTATAGTTTGACTTTGACAGGTACTAAACACCTGCAGTCCACTTCCCCCAGTTTAAGTTAAAGTGGAATTGTGTGTGAGCACTCTTTCTGAAAAATCAAGCCCTTCGGGCATTTGAAATACATGAGCTTGGCTATTTAAACTTCCATGCTAGCTTTATGATGTATAGATTTCTAAAATCCTCTCTCCACAGAACTACAATTTCTGTGAGGTGCAGCAGCATACTAAACATCTGTAGATAAAAGCTCTTCTACATTTTTTTTCTATTTCTAATGCTCAATCCTGCAGCATAAGGCTAGGAAGCATCAAAATTTTAACTATGATCTACTTTCAACTATGAACTACTTCCAACCCCTCTCAATCTTAAAAACACATTATTACTTATAATTACAAATCTCATACACACCAATGCCTACCAAAGTTGTGTTTCAGGAAAGGCTTAAAGAATTTGGCTACATGGTGATCCATCCCATAGTAAATTGAAGACTTGTAAATCTACTCATAATGCAGAAAAAAATTCTTCACCATTTTCATTAGTATAGCTGTGCAATGTTATTGTTAAGACTTACGATCATCTGCATCTAACTTTTCTTCATTTGTTGAAAACTTCTTACTTTCTGCATCATCTTCATTTTTTTTCTAATTCCAAAAGAATACAATTAAATCATTAATATGTTATTTAATTTTCAATATATGCATGGGCAACACAGTATATTCACACAGCCTTCAAATAAATGAGGCCAAAATGGGACATACATAATGGATGCATAAGCAGAAAAATGTACTGGAAGGCTGGCTAAAGTACAGTAAAAAAGGCAAAGAATTACTTATGATGGAGAAGGAAAACAAATCACAATGAGCTGGCACAGGTAATAGTTATACAGGACTACACAGCAATTTCAATTCCACTATAGACTTCAAAAACAAAAATAATGATTGATGTTTATGCAGATTTTTCTTTTTAAATGCACACTCAAGTTTAAAAATGTGGCTTATTTAAAAAAAAAAAAGCAGAAAACCAAGTATTAGTTCTAAATGAATAGCTCCCAGGTCAAACAACTCAGCAGAGAAAGAAGAGGTTTAGATATAGTTAATGAACCTGATCCTACCACTCTTGATAAACTGTCCTGCATATTTCAGTGGGCTTGCTTACTTCTCACTCTTCAAGATGGACAGCTTTCCAGGCATACAAAAGAAGGCTTCAGTCAATACCAGATATGTTGGGTTTTTAAAAAGATGACAAGCCTTTCTACCCAGAAAGTAACTACTTTTGAGACTGCCTAGAGGGTTCATAGTTAAATTTCATTTTAAACTTTTAAACTAACAACTTTATTACCTTGGCAACACTGAAGTACTTAGCTGTATTAGCCTTTACACAATGCAGCTTTCTATATTTAGAAAGTTGACATTTACCACCCACAATAGTTACATCTTCATGGTATTTCCTACGATAATTTTAAAAGACATGATAACCCCTGCGCATTAATACCTTTCTGTGGGAGTGAGGGATGATGGGTTTTTTGTCTTTAGTTCTTTCAGGTGGTAATCTAGGTTTACATATACATACATATATACTTTTTTTTTTTGCAGTTAGGCTGGTTACAGTGAACTTCCAGCTTAACTAAACAGTAGCAGAATTCTTCCTTAACTGTCAATTCCGGTTGAATAAAAGACACTTAATAGCTTAAACTGCAGTATCATGGACTGATTACTAGTTGGAGACAACTCCAAATACTTCAAAATATATAGTTTCTGTACCTTTTTCTTCTTGTCTTTAAACTGCTTAATTAAAGTGATCAAATGCTCAACAAGGAACATGAAATAAAGGCCTCCCAGGGCTGTAAGGCCCTTCCACGTAGAATCCAAATAAACATTCTCTTCTGCACTGTGAAAAACAAGATGCTTGAACAAGGAGTCTTTACTTTGTTCAAGTAATGGTTTCTCATGATGATGGTGGTGGTTCCCATGGGACTAAGGAAGGAAACAAAGGGAAAAAAAGTTGAAGTTCCACTACATTCAAAACAATATTCAACATTCAGCAGCAACAGAAGGAAATCTGCAGAATGTGAACCAGGGCTATTTCATTTTAATCAAATCCAGACATTTTACATTTAGCAAGAGAAAAAGATATGGATTTTAAAAAAAAAGATTTAGAAGAAATAAGATGCAAGTGATGTTTGTTGGTAGATGAGTGAAAGCAGGGCCAGCCACTACAACTAAACAACAACTATCACAAGTCTTCTTACATCAGTCACAATCACAGAGGTGGGGCCCTCAGTAGCAGCAATAACCAAAGCACCCTCTTTAGTGCCCCATCTCTATGGTGGCTCCACATTAATCTTACCATAATATCCCACATCTTAATCTACTCCCAACAGCCGGCCAATTCAATCTCTCCAAACTCTTCCAATCTCTTCCCTTCCTTACACTATAATCACTATAGTTGGTCAGCCTCTAGGGCATGACAGAAGGAATCTCTTTAGGTTTTCATAGAATCATAGAAAAATAGAGCTGGAAGGGACCTCAGGTCATTTAGTCTGACACCACACTCAGTGCACGATCACTCCTGGGTAAGCTATCCCAGTCAAATGTTTATTTAACTTGCTCTAAAAAGCTTCCAAGGATGGAAACTCTACAACTTCTATGGGGTAGCTTGTCCCAATACTTATCTACCCTCACAGCGAGAAGATTCTTCCTAATATTCAACCTAAATTTCACTAACTGCAACATAAGACCACTGTTTATTATCCTGACTGCCACAGTCACAAATAACTGCCTATCTCCATCGTCTCTACAAGCACCTTTCAGGTATTTGAAAACTTTTATCAAATTCCCTGCCTCTCCCCTAGGAGGGACCGCAGGAGGTCATCAAGTCCAACCTCTTCATCAAGGTATGGGTAATCACCGTCTAAATAATTCTAGATAAATGTTTGTCTAAGCTAGAGATGTCTAACATAGGCTGTGGGTCAGACAGATCCATGGAGGTGGGCCACCCACCACACAGGCTTCTCACTGGTTCTCAGGCAACCTCCACAGTTCAGCTCCAGTACTTGCCAATTCCCTACGGTCATTTTCACTTGACTGTGGGGCAGCCAGCATCCAATGGTTAATGATGCTGCAACCACCTTGTCTCATCCCTTCCTTTTCCAGTGTCTGAATTTACTGCTTTCAGTTGCTGTAGGCAACAAAATCAGACAGTTGACAACAGGGTTGAACTTTGGCTCCAGCAGGAGGACACAAGAGCATCTCAACACATGGCAGCTCCCCCACTAAGTCCCTGTGTGCTGGCAGGGAATATAGGTTATCACCTGAATTGAATGCAACACCCCTGGCCTAACTTATTCTTAAAAGCTTCAGGACCATCCCCTCCACACACAAGTACCAAGCATAATGCCTTAAACATCAACAACACCCTTGAACTTCCCACAGGCAAGGCAGGGGGATAAGGACACTGTCAATGTCCTGCCACTGCAAAAAACAGGAAGTCATTTGTTAAAATTTTTTCAAGAGATCCAAGGAAGAGGACCATGCTTCCTCCTTCCCCGCAACAATACAGGAAGGTTAAAACCACAACAGTCCACATGGACCACAGTGACTGTGGGGTAAAATTTCTTCACAATCCTAAACATGGCTGTTAGTCTGACTAAGTAGAAGAGCAAGACAGTTTTCCATTAGTTTTGTAGGTATGGTGCAACATATAATAAAAGCATGCTTTTTTTTTTTAAAAGATAATTGCACCACTGATACGCATTTAAGCATAAGGCCAAGAGGCAAGTGCCTCTAGAACATAAAAGAAAGTTCAATAATATAATTAATGAAGGCCTTACTTGCCATAGGCAGATTTTCAAACTCGATACAGGACAATTAATTCTTACACATTGTACTTAATTTTATCGCAGGAATGTACCACAGAGGACAACTGCCCCCATGTCACAGCATTTGGTCACAGCCTTCCCCACCATGACATGAAGTGACTAGATGCTCCAGTATCAGGTGTTCTGTTCCAGTATTTCTCTGATGTACCACTCTGATTTTTATAATCCATTTGAGCATCATTCTTTCATTTAGTCCATCTTTCATCATTTAGTGCATGCATGTGTAAAAAAACAAACAAACACATAAATAAATAACTACAACTCCCACAAGTTGGAGCTGATTGCCCACATGCATATGAGAGAAAATGTGATGAATGGAGTAGGGGTGTATGGCACAACTCCTCCCTGCATAGTGAAAATCTGATCAGTTATACTGATCACAATTTCACAAAGACCACTCTAAGCAATCTATATTTTCTTATTATTACATTTATGGATCATCTCATTAAACAGTCATTAAATCATCGATTTAACATACAACCCAACCTAAAACAGAAAAGTCAAGTCAGGTTTCAGTATTAAAGTTGTTTAAAAACAAGTAAAAATACTTACATGTGGAAGGAGATGTAAGAAGGCATCTCCACTCAGAGTCCCAACAGCCAGTGCCACAAGAAAACTTAGAAGAAACTTGAAAAATACACGATTCATCAGAGGTACCAATATAACACCCAGTAACGAAAGGAAACTGATGACAGAGATCGATATCAAACCACCAATCCAAGCTGGTAAAAGAAAAACAAGAGCCTGATATCAGCTTCTGTTTGCTAGACACTTGGCTGTTCAAACAGTGACTTGGATGCTATCATCTAAACAACACACAAACCCTGGCATGCTTGAGTCTAGAAACAACCCTTTGCAAAAACCACAATTATACAAGGTAGAATCTAAGCATAATTTATGTTAATTGTAAAAGCAAATTTCATGTTTGAGTCATTGCTGATAAGCTTTTTACTACACATTTCAGAAGGAAAAAAAAGCCTACCTATTTCCAAAGAAAAGCTTTTTGGAGGAGTTTCAGCTTTCTCATTAGTTGCATGGACTAAGCAATATTTGCCATCAATCTGATTAATAATAGCTGGGCAGAGATAGCTAAATTCTGTAGCAGTCAACAGTACTTGTGTGCTTATTCCATGAGACCGCATCAGTTCTGATGTATTGAAGCACTGTAGAAAGAAGCACTTGAGTAAGATTAAAAAGAACAGGAACTTGTTGAAAATTGCAAGAGTTCTAATGTTAACTCAGAGTAACACCTCTCTGAAGTATCTAAATAAACTGTAGCTAAGGTCTGTAACAAGTTCTAGTGATGTGAACTGCACAACTTTTATTCTGAGGGAAGAGTAATCATGAACACTTAAATAATTAAAACCATTTCAATTTCACATCTTACGTCAGTTCAAGTCTGACCAAATCAGCATCCGATCCACTCCACATCTTTCTAGAAGCTAGGTGCTACTGCTGAGGAATTGGTTGGATTTGACAGCCCTTAAGGTTCTAGTCAGTCATATACTGCAGATATAAGGTACAGGTGGCCTCTAAGTGGGGTTATTTCTAAACTGAAAGTTATTGTGTAGTTGTACGTTTTTTGGCCCTTAAGTCCTCCAGGCTGAAGAAGTACTTCGATAACACTGACAGCTGGATGGATGAACCATCCCATCCTCAACTTACGGAAGACAGAATGACCCATCTGGTCAAACGTCTCTTTTTCAGCCATATCCCTTCTATGGAGTCACATACATGGCATGTGTTGAACATGTTTTTAGGACAAACATTATAATTCAATAATATTTCTACTGTACTCTTTGCAGTCTTTATAAGTTCCCTTCAGTAGGCCTCCCAGCATGGTTTCTACTTTGCTTGTCGAGAATACAATATCCCTAGTTACCAAATTCAGGACTTGTGATTTTATATTGAATATATCCACTGACTTATATAGCTTAGTTACCAAAACAGACTCCACAGAGGTCTTGCAAGGTCATCTGTAAAAAAGATCTGACAGAAATAGACCTACATACACATTATTCCATTACTACCTTGACTTTTTAAAAGGCAAGAAAGAAAATGTTTTAGAGACATCTATTTTAGCTATAACGGGTCTTCATAAAGAACTAGCCCAACCTCAGAAACAGAAATAGAAACAGGCCTCTCAAAGAAAAATAAAGGAATTATGGTATTTTAGCAATCTGTGCAACAGTTACATTGGAAAGCAAGTGGTGTTAATATTTGCATGTTACTTGAATAAAATACTTCAGTAAAATATCTTTAGAATTAGACCTGTCATTAATAAAAGGCATGAATTTTTTACATGAAAAAACATCTATGCACAACATCCACATGCCTATTATTCTTGTCAGCATACTGTCCAAAGAAGCAGGAGATGTTAGGACAGAAAGCAACATATTCTACATTGAAACGAATGGGAAAAAATGTAGACACTGAAGTTATATTTTTCTAAGTTTTACTGCATGTAAATGGTAGCACAGGAATGACATGATAGCTATGATGATCGAGAAAATATGAGAAGCAAGGATTTTTTTTTCATTGGACCAACTGCTTGGTTCGCATAAGTTTAGACAGACTTTCGAATGCAGAACATTAGAAGAATGCTCTGCATTTGAAAGCTTGTCTAAATCTAACCCAACCATACATTTGGTCCAATAGAAGACACCACTCACAAAAATCCATGCCTCTCCCTTATTATATTTAAACTTTTTATATTCTTCCACATAACTCAGTTTGGCTTTTCACTAGTTTAATTGTCCAGCTGGTTTCAGGAATTACTCAGTGCCCCCTCACCTATATTCCCCTTCCAGTGCTCTCAGACCCAATTATTTCTCCAAAATCACCCTAGCATCAACCTTTGGGACCATCCCCACCTACCATCACATAAT